TGTCTAAAATAGTTTACAATTTTATAAAATAATAAAAATACAAATTTTATGTCATGTCATTAGCTTGAAACTCATTAAATGACATAACATTTGACTTACATGTCCAATCACAATTATGAGCGCCACATAATCAAAACACGAGGGAGACTAAAAAAAAGTGACAACTTAGGAGACTAAAAGACTAAAAAAATTAAAAGAAAGACTAAAAATACATCTAAACCTATTATTTTATAATAAAATATTATTTCAATGTGTGAATTTTATACATATAAACATAATGTGTTAATAAATATACATATTCTACGGAAAAATATAACCCTTTCTTATACTGACATGAGATATTATATATAATTATACCTTCTCAAAATAATTGTTTGCCAAAATTAATTTTTTTTGGTCATAATTCTTTCAATTTTTTAGCGCCAAACATTTCTACTTCTAAGTTGAGGATTTCGTTAAATTATATATATATATATATATATATATATATATATATATATATATATATATATATATATATATATATATATATATATATATATATATATATATATATATATATATATATATATATATATATATATATATATATATATATATATATATATATATATATATATATATATATATATATATATATATATATATATATATATATATAATTTAATTATTATTATATAAATTATATAAATATAATTTATCCGAAATAAATAAGTTATATATAATAGATTAGATTTAGTCATGGTATTAAAACATAAATTTTACTGTGATAAAAAATTGTATTAAAAATATGAAATAATTAAAAATTAATTATTACGATAGATAAATCTATAAAATATATAAAGAAAATACTTTGTTTTGGTATGACTTATTTTTTTTATTATTTTTACCCTTACTTTATATAATTTACTTAATAACTTTTTATTATTAACTTTCACATAACTTTTTATTATTAACTTTCACATATTGTATTTTTTTAAAATTTTATTTAAACAAAAATTATCGTTTATATTTTTACTCATGCGCATTAAATAAACAGACAAACGGATACTCGCATATTCGTATAGACGCTAGTAAATAAATAAATAAAAAACTACACATAAATATTTCCAACTTAATAGGTCTAATATTCTTTTAGTCTAACCTATTTAAATTAATAAAATTTTAAAACACTTGAGTCTAAATTTTTTATCAAATAATATAGACTGAATCAAACTTTAAATAAATTTGGCCACTATTCCGATGAATTTACAAATTTCTACCCCAACCTAAGATGAAGTTTATATATAATTTTTTATTATTTCCTTTTAACTATATCTTTATCAAAATTTAATTAACATTTAATTACTTTAATTATATATAGCAAATATCATATTTCATCATTTCTTCAATGATGAATATGTACAGAAGATTGACTTTTTTTAATTGAAATTATTTTACACATTGGTCATTATTTAGTTTTTTTAAAAATAAAAATAAACATACAAATATTCTCAACTCGTATGGACGTACAGGTCTTCTACTAGTTTGCAATATAATCTATGCATTTCAATATCAAAATAACAATTTACTGATATTTCCGGAAATGCATCTCCAGAAATAACCATCGAAAAAATTGATAAAAACACCACTTTGCATGAGCTTCTTCTTTATGTTAAAACAAAAAAAAAAAACATTCTAAAACCTTTGAAAAAATTTCTCTCATTCTCAATCAATTTTTCAACACCAAAACATTATTCTTGTATTTCATCATTTTAAATGGAGTAAAACAAGTTGAAATTACAGGCAAAGATCATTCATTTCATCGATAGTTCCTTGCATTAATTTTAGTTTTATGCTGAAAAATGAACGTTGAGCCAGAAGATGGATTTCTGGATAAAGCTAGGTGAGTTTCAGATGCACATCTCCGATTGTCCTGATAGTTTGAAATGTAACATTACTTTTTTGTTATTGTGGCAGTAGATATTGGGCACCCGGATATGTTTCCTAAAGTTATTGTGAGTATGGATGTTAAACCAGTCAAAGTGAAACATGATGTTACATCAGATGAAAGTGAATGATAATGTTCAATAAGTTAAAGTGAATGATGGTGTTTAATCGGATGAATCGAATGATGATGTTAAACTGGATGCTCGACCGATTGTTGTCGAGGTAGATGTTCGAGCACAATTTACAAATGAAGAAGTGTATATTATTCGTGAACATATGCTACAATGAGTCCTTATGAAGGTCGAAAAATTGGGGTTTGGTGTTGTAATCGAAGGCCCGACAATGGTTGGGATAAAAGAGAAACATTTGTAACATTGATATGCGAAAGAAGTGACACATACCAACCTAGAATTAGAAACTTGAAACGAGATGACACGAGATCGAGAAAATGTGAATTTCTGTTTAAATTGCATATATACCACATTGCAAATGAGACATGAAAATTTAATGCGATTTTCGGTATAATAACCATGTCTTGCATGACAAGCTATCCGGTCATCCCATTGTATGTCGCCTTGTTTCGGAGGAGGGAGAACTTGTTTCAGACCTGACACTAAACATGGTGGCGCCGAAAAACATACTTACATCTTTGAAACAGAAAAGTCCTTTAAATATTTCAAATATTAAACAAATATACAATGTGTATGCTCGAGACAACAAGGCGATAAGAGGACCAAGATCTGAGATGCAACAATTGTTAAAGCTTTTGAAAGATAGAGACTATGTTTTGAGGTGCAGAGTTCGTGAAGATAAAGTCATTGTTCTAGATATATTTCGGAGTAAGTTGTTCAACACATTTTCCTCTATGCTCATAATGGACTCAACATACAAAAAAAAACAAGTATAGACTTCCATTCTTAAAAATTGTTGGCGTTACTTCTACGGAGATGACTTATTCAGTCGATTTTGCATTTTTGAAATTCGAAAAAGAGAACGTTGCATGGGCTTTGGAAATGTGCAAGATTATATTGAAGGACCAAGAAATTATGTCACTAGTCATAATTACTGATGCGACACCATAATGATGAATTCGGTTGCAACAGTGTTTCCTACATCATTTGTATTTCTTTGTAAGTATCACATAACCAAAAATGTGAACAGTCAAGTAAAACCTATTGTTGGCACCAAACAAGTCAAGGTTGAAGATGAAAAAAAATGGTCAAACATGGTATCGTGGTGGAAAAGATAATAGATGCATGGAATGATATAATAAGTTCTTTCACGAAAGAATTATATTGTGAATATGTTATACATTTTAGGAGTGCGTGTGCGATATACTCAAATTTGCTGAAATATGTTGAGAGCGCGATTCTAGACTAGGTTAAATAGAAGATTGCTTGTGCATGGATCGATTAGGTTCGACACTTTGACAATATAACAACCAATAGAGTTGAATATGCACATATTTCTCATCGATCTAAAAACCAAACAGAATACTCTATTGTAATATCCAGAAAATCAAAGAGTCAGAAAGCTCGAGTACCGTTCACCATTGATTGATAACGAAGGAAAGATATGGTTCACCATGCTTGAACTGAAGACGCATGATAATTTGAGCATTATGTAAAACACCTTTTACCATTACTCAACAAAAAGTCTGATTGAAGTAGATGTGACGATTCAAAGATCAGCTGAAGATATTATAAGAATGTCACAACATCCTGAACCACCTGTTTTTAATAACATGTAATGTTAAATTCATGTAATGCTTATCTATGCAATGTTTACTTTGGAGTTTATTTATGTTGGTTTTCAATTCTTCCATTATGTCTATTTCTATTTTAATCTATCAGAGCATATTACGGAGTTATATCTCCAAAAAATTTACATACTAATGAACTAAGAAATATTACAAAGATACATCTCCGAATCAATCTCTTGTGCATACAAAGATGCATCTCCGAATCAAATTTTAACAGAAAAAAAATTACTCACCAATTTCCCTTAATTGTGTGCAAAATATGCGTCATTCAAATGTGGAAAAATTTTAGTCTTTTCACAATATGGGAGAACTCCTAAGAATGAAAAGAGCAATTCCCTTGTTTAAATGTGTTTAATGTGCAATCTACTTATGAGGAAACCAGAAGGAATTTTCCACCCGCATGTTCGAATCATCACCAATATCTCAACTATACCCCCTTCAAGAAAACACGACTGAATTTCCAAATGCTTCGCTAAGAAGAAAACAAGAAAACATATATGTGGTTCCAAATGTTTCGCCACAAAATACATTGCTTTGAGAAGCTAGCCCCTGAGGTCTGTTTAGTTGGGAGGTTTAGTTGGAGTGTTCCATCACCAGTGTAGGCCCTGGTCATCGAGAGGAAAAATCCTTAATATCCACAGCCTTGGCATTCAGACACATGGTGCTGTCAGTTTCATTACTTTGCATATCAAATTCACTATCAAATTGCAACATTAATGGTTTATTATCATTATTACAAAGAGATGTGATCCTGAAAACCACAGTGCAGATCATTCAAATGGGGGCATTATAAAGCTTTTGATGAAATTTCAAATATGGTAAATTCACTTTGTAGGTTTTTTTCCTTCTTTTACAACCGTGAGTGCAGATCATTCAAATGGGGGCATTATAAAGCTTTTGATGAAATTTCAAATATGGTAAATTCACTTTGTAGGTTTTTTTCCTTCTTTTACAACCGTGATATAGAATTGAATAATTGTGTCATATAAAATCCGTTTGCAGCACATCAGTAAAGTCTGGTTTAAAGATGAACAAATAAACCATTAAGTCCAGAAAATCAAGTGGTTAGCTCAGTATTACAAAGAATAAGTTTAGTATGCCGTGCGTTGCAGTGTTGCAAGGAAGACCATGAAACACAAGAAAAATCTCATACAAAAAAAGTTAAATATTCTAATTACTTATTGCCACCTATATCACATAACAAACTTTAGAAAATCAATGGTAATGAACAAAAAAACTACAGCAACATACAAATCATCAAAATTCAGCTTCATGTTGAAAGCCTGTCACTGCCTCCTATCCACATGATTCATACCATATGCGCTTTCTTATAGTTATCTGCTGCTTTGGATAATGATTGAATTGATACAGGTATCCCTGGGCCAATCTGCATCAATACAATTTCAATGAATAACTTAAAATAAGGAACAAACGTAGAAGAATGTGACAATGCTCATCATTACTGCAGATAATGACACTAGCAAATCAATGGCATTTCTTCACAAGTCATGTGTGGATGTGTCAACTGACAATGATATGTCTATCATATGCTATATGAGTAAATACCAATATGTGCATCTTGATATTAATAATTTATATTCATCTATAGATATACAAAAGGCTAAAATATACTTGAAATTTCAGTACCTAACATGCCCTATAACCTATAAGCAATAAGCAATAAGCAATAGGCAAATTATAATGCTCCACAGAAAGGCATTAATAACGGCGACTTCCTTTTTATCTTTCATTGTGGACTATATATTGATGGCTAAACATTGTTTCCCACTCCATAAAACCCTACCATGAATATAACCACATTTCACAATAATTATAACCAGCAAAATGTTTAGCAGACGTTCCATCATTTCAAAATTCAAATTCCATTACTGCATTCCTGTTTCCAGACGTGCATATGAAGCACAGACACAACACTGACACACATCAACACCGATAATGATTTGAAAAAAAATCAAATTATAATGTAATCAAATTTATCGGTGTCAGACAAATTACACAAACTGAGCATTAGAAAAAGATATGTATAAAAAAAAACAGAATGTGATGCAAGAGCTTACCGTGCTGCATATATGGACTGACAGCACATACCCAGCATATTTGGAAGCTGGACAACAAAAAAGCAAGTGTAAGATGATAGAAATATTCTCAGCATACAAAATGGAAGATCACATTACACCAGCATCGAGAGGGGGCCATGTCATCATTTTGTACTCTGGAAGGTTTTACTATTCCATAACCTCAATAAATCCTTATTATAATTTTCACTGGCGATTCTAAGATTTTTACAGTATTCAACTTTTATTTTTCAGACCTGGTGGAATTTTACTGATATTTCTATTTCCTAGTAGTATCTTGTATATAAGCCTAGATTTATGATACCTAGGAGTTATTAGACCTGGTTTTTGTGTCTAAGCTTCTTGAAGGTCTAATAGCAGTATGTTTTGGTGCTAATCTTAATAGAATTAGGTTTCTTTACATACCTAATCATTGTAGGATAAGTTAAAGGTGGTTTGTTTAAAATATTCAAATGCTTTCTCTTTGACACATTATCAGACTTATGGTGACAGTATATTCTGTCTTCTCTTGTGTGCTATATAATCAAATAGCAGACTCTTCTTTTCTCGCTATGTTTGAAATTCTTTAGGTTATAAAGTGAGAAAAGGATGGAAAATGAAGAGAAAGAACAACCATAAAATTAATGTTTCACAGAAAACCAAGTCAGATCCTACATTAAAATAACAGACCATAAACATAATACCCATTTGCTCGTACAACCACATATATGGAGCTTAAATAGCTGAATTCTGTAATACAAAATATTGAAATTTTGAGAAAATAAAGATCCCAATTAAAGTCTTTATAATGTTAACTCTAAGTTTATGAGTCATAAAGGTTTGGACCTGGATTTCACACATGCTTAGTTATTTTCTAATCCAGATTGATAAACTATATAAACAAGGCCTTAGACACTTATAAGCAATTATTGGCAGATATCTGCTTTTTTTTTCACACTTATGTACTAGGGAAACATGTCTGCAACACTATGATTTCCCTTTGGAAGGGAGAGGCCTGTAACAGTTCTGACATTTCATCTTTACTTTTCTCCAAGTAACAAAGGGAAGGGGTGGAGAACAGCATAAGAATTTGTATACTACTTACTCTTCTTTAAGCCAGCAGGCTTTGCTTGCAATACAGCATTCATAAATGCACCAATATTCTCCCGTAAAGACTCTTCTTTGTAGCTTACCTGTGGATATTATGGTAAGTGAGCACATGAGAATATCTCACGCAAAACACTTTATTACTTTTGTTAAGAAATGTATAACGAATTGAAGGAAACACAATAGTACCTTTCCAACTCCCGCATGCAAAATTGATTTACTTTCCATTTTAAACTCAATACGACCTTGTCTTAGCTCTTTTAACTGCCCAGCAATATCACTAGTGAGAGTACCTAGCTGCAAAACATAGCAAGTAATAGAACCAAATAAGAGTTAAATACAATACAACACATGTACCTTGCACTTCAAAAAGAATATCAAATGTCAACATTGAGAAACTAACTTTCTTGTCCGGCATCAGTCTGCGCTTTCTGAGATATTGTGCTATCTGCATATCAGTTCTGATAAGCTTTAGAGGAAGAAACCGCTAATTTAGATGATTGTACAAGAAAAAGAGGATTTGAATCCAATATACCTTTCCAAGATGAGGTGCCATTCCAGGGGTTGAGAAGCACTTGTCAACTTTGAGCTTATTACTACCACCTATAAGAGTATAAATACTATTAGATATGAATAACATTGTACATATTCTACATAGTATAACCTCACTACACTATTGAGTGACACTTGAAACGTTTCTTATCATGAAGTGATGAAAAAAAGTAATGTCATGCGTTTAACTAAAACAGCATATACTAATATAATTTAGACATAAGCACAAATAGAGCACGACAGAAAAATTTACAGTTAAGCTAGCATAAACCACAAATCGAGCATACAGATATAAAGGGAGAAGAATGTCGCTGAGAAAAGCAAGCTTAGAACCAACAAGAGACAATATGCATCTGCACATTGTCTCCATAAGTTTAGAAGTAGAAAAAGCTATCGGCATGATTAACAAAATTGCTCGGAGAAAGAGATCAGTTCATTACTTGCAATCTCCTCAATAAGCTCTTTACCACCAACTATATCAGCTCCTGCAGCTTTGGCTTCTTCTGCCTCTGCCCCTTCTGCAAAAACAGCCACACTGACGGCCTGGGAGGTATGGATAATTAGATGACAAACCTGCCTTTATATGATATATCAATTGCTTAACTTCCATAAGTTACCTTAGGAGCACCATGAGGCAGGATCACAGTACCACGAACTGCCTGTCAGAGTTGATACAGTTAACTTCTAGAGTAAAGGATTGAGAAAGCAGAACATAATACTTTTTATCCAAAAACTGAATAAAAACAGAAAATGGAATATAACAGTGATATCGTATGTGTAAGAACAGAAAGTCTACAGAAGAGAACATAATGATAATTTTTTAAAATCCTATTTGTTTTGTTGAGTAAATAATTCATTCAACAAAATAATAACAGAACTAACAGTATGCAATATTTAGCATATTTGAAAAAGCTATATTATCACTAAAAGATATTTATCAAAAACATGTCCTTAGAAAGGCTAATAATATCAAGCAGTTTCTGAAAATAACATAGAGATGTTCAGTATTTGTTGAAAGTGTCAAAAAATAAGACCCCTTTCTCTAACTACCCATTCAAAGTATACTTGCAGATACAGGATAGGTGATTCGAGATGGGATAATTCAACGTCCTCATAGACAGAGAACCTACTTTAGTCATTTGCAATAACTACTAGATGTTAGTCTTCAAAGGGCATATGACTCTCAAGTTTTGAGAGTATCAATGAAGATAGGACGTAGTTCATTGAATATGCCAAACCTATAGAATTTAAAATTTACATGGTACTCATAGAATCATCCTAGCTCACAAAAAACACACACAAACACTAGCCAAGCGATAAAAAAGAAAAAGAAATATCCTGAAACATACCAGTTCTGTTCGCTTGGAATCGATGCCCAATCTTATATGTGCTTCAACAGTTTCGTCAAACTTTGCCTTGGCATTGGCCTGAACAATATATAATTATATTAAGTGATAGACAGTAAACAATAGAACATTACAGGTAAAACAGGAACGATGTAATTGTCAAGGACGTGCAGTATCCCTAACCCAATCCATTACACCAAAACTTAGACATAAATAAGGGAATGGATGAAAATTTATAAATCACAAAAACATTTGGAAACAGACAATACCTCAACCAAAATAGAATACAGTACACACACAACATCTTTGAAATGTTTCTTTGTTTGTGACTTTTAAGCTATCTCTTAAATATTAAAATTTCATTAATTTAGAATAATTTGTCATAGAGAAAATTTTACATGTGCAAGAATGTATGGGATTAACCAATAGATTTGTTATAAACAATGAATATTTGAGATTCAAACTTCAAAGTTCAATAGAGAGAAACTGTCTCAGAGTACATCAATAACAGTGGCACATAATATATATGGTATACCTACACATTACATGCAAAAATATTCACATGCACGAGAGTGTAGAATCGGAGGGAAAAACAGGGTGTTAACTTTTATACTCTCTAAATTGGTTCCTAAACAAAAAAGAACATTTGTTTTCCATCGATATATCTTCAACTTGTGGCTGCAGTTTTCAGAACTTCGTTGCAATAGGTATTTCTTTTCAGGAAGATTTGCAGGATTCATTTTCAGTCCCTAAAATGTAGAGGGCATTGTATATTATGGAAAGCATATATGACCAACTAAGGTTCAACTGTTTAACATAATATCACAGCATGTGTTTACAAAGTCTCAAAATAACAGCACAGAATTTCATTCACAAATGCAATAGCTTAGGGGCAAGTTTGAACAAACTTTTAACTTTTAGAAACTTTTCAACCGAGTTATATATTCAGCTCCTAATTTACAAAATAAACTCTAGAAAATTTGTAGGAGTATATGGACAAGTTAGGCGAAAGAGCATCTGAATAAGTTAAGGTACATGATCATTTAAAAAGACATAGACACTGTAAAATTATTTCATCATTTATTTTCCTAATCCTATTAGTACTTGTTGGAAGTTCCTGAGACAGCCACAAAGTTATGAATTATGGTCTGCAACTGCAAAATAAAGGTTTCAGATGTCTTTCCAACAGTATCACAACCGCAATTGCAGCCATATCGACCACACACATTGGTTTGCAACAACCTAATGCTAAGTTTGAGTAACAACGTCCAATCAACAATGAACTAATTAGCTAGAAAATGAAAAGAAAAAAAAGAAGGCAAAATTTGAAATGAGTAGGGTGGTATTATCTTCTCCAACCTTAACTTGGCGAATGGCTTCGGACAAATCAAAGAGAGGTGGTTTCTCCTTCTGCTTGGGCTTTATCAACAAAGGAAAAGGCACCTTCAACTTTTCATCTTCTGTAGCTTTAAGCATCTTCTTCCTCAGATGATCCTCCGCCTCAATTCTCTTCCTCTCGTTCTCCATTTCATCATTCTCAGCCGGACCCTTATCGTCCGGCAGTGGAGCTACCCGAACAGGGTAAGACACCGGCGTAATCGACGGGGCGTCCTTCACGTACCGAATATCTTCGCGCGTCCATGCTCGTGGTGGTTCGGGACCGTCCGCTGATTTAGGAGGAGGTGGGGGAAGTTGACTGAGGGATGGGGCGTCGGAGGAGAGTTGAGGCTCCGGTGAAGGTGGGTCTTGGGGTTTAACGGGGTAGGAAACGGGTTGGATTGGAATGGGTTCGAAAGGTGTGGTTGAAGGGTTTGATTCAGATGAAGAAAATGATCTGTTGTGAGAGAAGAAGGAATGAGAAAGGGGAGAGTGGAAATGGGAAGGGTGATTGGTGAAGCAGTGGCGGCGAGCTTGAGAGAGGAGAAGCTTCAGTGACGCCATGGAAGGGAGCAACGAGTAGCGTGAAATGTGAGGAGTGTAAGAGAGGGTTTTTGGGGTTTGGGCAAACGGGTCAAGATGTGAGTGACCGAAGCTCCTGGTTGGTTCGGGTTTTCTAAAACGGGTTTTTTAAACCCGAACTAAAACACATTCAAATGTGTGTGGGATGCGACTTAGGGGCACATGGGAATTCAATACGGTAGAGATTGTACACAACTTCTAATTGGTTATTGATTTTTATATTTGAAAAAGTATAATATATGTGATATTGTATAACCATATCTTATAAATCATGGTGGCCACTATAAACCTACTTATAATCATTTTAGCCTACTCTAGTGTTATAGAGTTTTTCTTTATAATTATTGTTTTTTTAGTGTCATGATCCTCCCTTGTTTAAGAGTTGAAACGTATGTTATGGTTATTTACCCCTTAGATAATTACATATTTATTTCATCATTATTATGTTCATTTGTTTAGAATTATATCACATAATATCTCATAAATGGTTGCGTTACTTATGGTTGAATTTTTTTCTTTTAGAGTTGAATTGATTTGTAGTGTGGGACGTCGCCCTTTCATAAAATTGTGGCGAGTTAGTCCATTCAACTCTAGATTAATGGAATTTTATAATTTAAAAATTATAGAATTTTATAATTTAAAAATTATTTAATTATTATATTTTAATAATTATTAGGTGGAACATATATATTTTAATTATATTAGTTATTTATCAAAATTAAAAGTTTTAATTGATTAAGTGGTTAAATAAATTTAAAAAACTAATTAGATATGAGTTTAAATATGAGTGTATGTTAGGATGATCCATTTAAGAATCATAACTAGCAATCACACTATATATAGGTTATGGTCTCAATATACCGTACACAAACATATTATCTCTTCTCCCCATCTGAAGAGAATTTGAGATGTAAGAAGTATTAGTTGAAGAAAAACCACAAGCCAATAAGTGTAAGTCACTTGTCTTTACATTTTTTTTACTTTTTAGGATTATCGTTATCAGTGTCTATAAACCTTTCTTCTTTGATCCGTCCAATTATTCTTATACTCCTTAATAAATCAATATGTCGTAGTGTATATGTTTGTTTTGCTTTCGCCTTAAATTATGATTTTAGATTTGATATTTGTATTTAAACAAGTCTTGTATAAATTAGTTATTAAATTCATTCTAACATAGGTCGAATTCGTCACACCCACTTTAACTCAAATACTTTTTGAGGAGTTTAACATGCGTTAGAGGGGACGAGTTGAGTCATGTTGATTCAAGACGAGTTTGGGTCATTATGAGCATATTAATACACAATCCCTCAAGTACGAGGTCTATAGGGGGAAGTGATTTATGGAATATTTAATAGCACAATCCCCAAGCACGAGATCTATAAGAACGAAGTAATTTAAAGAATATTTAATAGTTCACATTCTCTCAAGCATGAGACATGTAAGGGTGGAGTGTTTTATAGAATATTTGATAGTTCATAGTCGCTGAAGCACGATGCTTGTAGAGACTGAGTGATCTAGAAAATGAGATTTATCAGGTTGCTACCATCAGGTTACTAATGACATTACTAATTTAATCATTTAATTTAAGTGAGAGTGTTCAACTTTTTAAATGATTTTTTTTTTTACTTTTTAAACTTCACTTTTAAGGTTGTGATGATTAAGCTTGTAATGGGAATGGACGATTAATTCGGGTCTTCCATTAATTTTCATGCTTGGAAGGGGACTTGTTTATGCTCTGTCATACTAATGATGATTTCCAAGCTAGATGAGTAAGTCTATGAGTGTGTAAATATTAGAACATTTGTCTCTTTCTTTCAACGCTTTCTTGGACAATAGCCCTCACTCTTTGCGAAACCCATATTTCATTATTATTGTCTTCATCGCAAACTCAACCTCATTAACCAGTCATAAAGTCTAACTATGGGTACATCATTTCCCCCTTTTTATCTTTTTATTTTGTGTTTCTGAGATGGTATTCATTAGGGATTATGATTAAATTAGTAATGTATTCGAGCTTAATACTCCTGAGGAGAAGTGTGATTTATAGTGGCGTTGAATTGAAAGTTCTAAGAGAATAGATGAAAAAGTAAATCGTAGGTTTATTGAAATGAAGATGTTTGGAAGCTATGAAAATAGTTATAGTAGATATGATAGTGAAGAAAGTAGGGATAACAATGTTACTTGGTATCTTCTTACCTAGGACCGATAAAACTCTTTTAGAGATTTCACATGGAAGCATGGTCGCCTTTCGTAAGGAGGTGGCGAGCTTCAACTCAATGTATAATAATGATTCCCTAGTTAGATCATTCCATCAAGGCTTATCCATATTTGTAGTGGTATATTTGTAAGGGATCCCAAATAGGTCGACATATGTCCTTAGTTGGGTGTTCGCCCCATGAGGCACCGCACAGGGTGTGTCCTTTACGTGTCACGGGAGCTCTCCCTAAGGGGAGACGTGGATAATACCGTTTATCCAATCTAAATGAATGTGAGGATCCGTGCCATGACTCCCTAGGAAATAGGTAGTCAACAACTTTCCCCGATTAAGGGGGAAAGGTTACCATTTCTTGAGGATTCCCTAAATCCTAGACTCATACGCCTCTATAAATACCTCAACTTTAGGGTTAAAGAGGACAAGTTGTAATGATCATAATACACCCTTAATAGAAACAAAGTTTTTCACCTAACGTGAGGTTATTCTCTCATCACCGTAAACACTACCAAATACGGCCTCTCGCCACCGTATGCAACCCTAAACTACCAGAAAAATACTCAAGCTTCTGGTCACCCCTACTAGCTCAAGGGTATCCTTATTTTGCAAAAATTTAGCCTGGAGATGCATCTCCGTATCAGCATTAAGGTGAGTCTGAAGATGCATCTCAGTAACAACCCTTAATTCAAAACTCAATGAGTTTTACGGAGATGCATCTCCGAAATATACCTTGTTAGGTCAAACCAGAAACAATTGTAGAAAACAACACAAATTAACATTCAAATACTTAAAATTACATAGATAATCATTAACATAAAATTTAACATTACATGTCATTATAAACGGATGGTTAAGGATGTTGCAACATCCTTATAATATCTTCGGCCGATCTTGCAATTGGCACATCCATTGCAATCGGACCCTTTATTGAATAATGGTAAAAATGTACTCCATATAACCTTTAAATCCTCGTCCATCTCCAGTTAAAGCTTGGTGAATTATATCTTCCCTTCATCGTTAATCGAGGGTGAACGATACTCGAGCTTGACAACTTTCTAATTTTCTGGATATCGCATGAGAGTATTCAATATGAATTTCATATCGACGAGAAGTGTAACCTCGGAGAACCTAAATCGAAGTGAGGGGGTTTGCACCATTGAAATACCTAAACGTAAGATGGGGATATCTATTCATTCTGGTTTGTTGTGTTTCTGTAAAGAACATGTAATGAGATATTATCCCTATTTATACAAGTTTTAGATCAATTCGGAGCATAGAAACAGTATCCTTTCATCAGGGCATATTTCAGATAAACATATCCAAACACACCCTGTTTTTTACAAAACAAGGGTATTTATGGAGATGCACGTCCGTAAAATCCCTTTTTTTTACAATTAAAATGAGGTATGCCCGAAGATGAACATTCAAAATCACTTCACGAGGCACTATTCATGCTGAACAAGTATATTATGCAGGGCAAAATTTTGTCCAAAAATTACCCCCAGATTATATAACATTAAAGTAGAATACACATTACGTATGTTTCAAATTATATAAAGTTACATCATTAATAACATCACATACAAAGATGAGTTACATTGTTAGATGAAAACAAAAATGTATCAAAACATGTGTCACTACCTAAATCTATTGGTGGATCCTTCTTTGACCTTTCCTTATTTGATTCTCTTTCAATGTCGCTCAACTTGGTGAGCTCTTCCATCCTTTCCAGAAAGTGATTCGGCCAATTTTCATCATTTTTTTATGAAATGTGACATCCACTTCGATGATGTCTTTGGTATAGGACATCCCATTTTCAAATACACTTTAACAAAATGTTGTGTTTTTGAAAGTCATCCAATACACATGATGCGTCCGAATGGATTTTGAGGTGGTTTACTTCGAAGCGAGAAAAATGTTTCTGAGAAACAGTATCTTCTTAGATCAATATACACTTTATCATAAACAATTGTTATAAGATGTCTCATTTCTAGGAAGCACGTCCATTTTTCAAACGGTGTCATACCACTAACATAAGGAACAATATCATTGAGAATTGCAACAGAATTTTTTCCCGTATAGCGATGTGTATGGTTATCTATGTATCATAAATTCTTGTATAAGTTGACGACAGACAAATTGGAGCTCATTCTCTCCTTTACCGAGCAAACTTGAAACGGCTCAAAAACCACAATTATCGTTACCTTTAACATTTATAATTCGCTCAATGTATTTGTTAAAAAAAGCGGCATCTCTTCAATGAAGATGATTTTTGGTAACGGTGGTGGATGAGATGGTTTTCTAATGCGAGCACCTTTAAAAACACTTATTTGAGATTTTGGTGTTGGTGAAAGCGGAAAATGTGAGTCAACATGTTCAAAGTATGAAGGAGATCGTCTCGTAGAATTGTCATTATGTGTCACTTTGACAATTTTAGGGGCACTCTTTGTTTTAATTGGTTCCAACGGTGGTCTTAAATTCGTTGTTTCGTGATAGAAAATCTTCAACATCTGCTCTTTGATGTGAGATTTCATGATGTCATCAGCTTTCAAAGATCTCTCTTGGATTACTTCCCATTTGGTTATAATAGTTTTACTTAATTTATCATCCTTCGTCACGCCATCATCATTAAATTGAAGCTTTTTCCAATGAGTGTAAACTTCATTCATATGTATCGGTTTAGCAAACTTCATCTTTCGTTGAAATTAAATAAGAGCATGAAAAACCATATGTATTTCTAAGTGTACAACCACACTTTGAGTTATATGAA